AGGCGAAGTAGAGATGAGAAGAGAGATGAGAGAAGTGAGAGAGAGAGCAGAAGATAATTAGAGAGAGAATCGAGAGAGTGCTGAAAGTGAGAGATGAAGATAGAGAGAGGAGTAGAGCAGAAGAGAGAGAGTAGAGAGAGCAGAGAGAAGTAGAAGAAGTGAGAGTGAGAGACGATGAGCGAGAGATGAAAGAGAGCTGAGAGAGGAAGAAGTGAAGAATCGAAATGTAGTCAAATAAGTGAAAAGAATAGCAAATTCAGGAAGATTTAGAACATTATCACAGTGACTATATGACTTGAAGAGATAGAATCAGAGAGGATGACTATATCAGAGAGGGATAGCAATGGAAGTGAAACGAACAAATAACACCCTCGAAGCGCCAAGCAACAAGCAAAGACCACGCGACAATATGAAACCACACACTCTCAAGCAAGATGACCTAAGAAAAAGATGGAGACAAACTCCACGAATAGATAAAGCACCTCCACTAGCAACACTCACACAGCCACCAGGGCAAGTAATGCAGTGACACAAGAGAGATAACCATGAGTTAAACTCCAGAAGAGAATGAATGATCACTCCCCATGTAACTTTCTCATGTATGACTCGTACTTCGCGACGTACACTTATCATGACTCCTCTCTACTGCGCGTCCTATATCATAACTCTCACGTCCACCTCTGTCTCTACCTCTCACCGCATCTCCTACCCAATCAACTACTCAATCTCACAGCATCGTCTCGTCTGTCTGATCTGCGATCTCTCTATTACTCTCCTTCTCTCTCTCTCTCTCTTCTCCTCTCCTCTCTCTCTCTCTCTCTTCTCTTCTCTTCCTCTCTCTCTCTATCTCTCTTGTTTGTCTGTCTGTCTCTCTCTCTCTCTCTCTCTCTCTCTCTCTCTCTCTCTCTCTCTCTCTCTCTCTCTCTCTCTCTCTCTCTCTCTCTCTCTCTCTCTCTCTCTCTCGCCCTCTCTCTCGCTCTCTCTCTCCTCTCGCTCTTCTCTCTCTCTCGCTCTCTCTCTCTCTCTCTCTCTCTCTCTCTCTCTCTCTCTCTCTCTCTCTCTCTCTCTCTCTCTCTCTCTCTCTCTCTCTCTCTCTCTCTCTCTCTCTATCTCTTCACTTTTCTCTCTCTCTATCTATCTATCTTTCACTTTCTTTCTCTCTCTTACTCACTTACCCACTCATGCACACGCGCTCACTCTCTCTCCTCTCCTCTCTCTCTTTATCTATCTCTCTCTCTCTCGCTCTCTCACTATCTGCCTATCTATCTATTTATCTACCTACCTGTCTATTTACCTATCTATCTATCCACCTCTCTGACTCCCTCTCTCTGCAATTTTGTCCTTTTACCCTCCTCCTCTTATCGACGCGTTGCCAAAAGCAGTGATACCGCGAGAAAGGGAGCGCCATTTTTTTCTTTTTTTTTGTATTTTCGCAAGAGACGAGACCAAAAATCAGCTAAGACTGGATCTTCGCAGCGTCTGAATGGAGATGATACTGATAATACTATTAGTAATAGCAGTAATAGCAGCAGAATAAGGAAAAGGAAAATGTCCTGACCACCCAAACTAGCACTTTAACACAGCCTTGCCGATTCTCCTTCGTCCGAACACCTTAAAGCGGCGCTGGCCTCGGCGGACAGAGGAGGATCGAGAAGCGTGGGATCGATAGAGTAACCGACCACAACAACTTGAGGAAATTGAATGGCGGAACACTTTACTACGCTGATAAATTAGCAGAAAAATAAAACAGTGGTTTATACGAAACTGTTGTTCCCTTATTATTATTATTTCTTTTTTGTATGTCTATGTTTGTACAATAGTTTTTTTTCTGTTTGTCATGGAAGTTTCGAATTTCCTTTGGAAGTTATTTAAAAATAGCTGATAAAAAGGCGTTACCAGAATTCTCTTTAGGATAATACTAAACGGACTGCATTTTGATATCGAAACCATAATTAACAAGGGAAGGAAAGCAAAGGGGCGTGGTCTTGCCTCTTCTGCACGCAACACCGAAGCCGGCAGAAGCTCAAGAGAAACCAAAAATGAACTAAATTGAAGAAAAAAAAAAGTTGCGCGTCTATAAATAAAAAATGACCCACAAATCACGATGATGAATAACATTCTAAATGAAATTACTCGAAATTGGAGATCCGTCTCAACGATTCGCTTCGTTGGCAACATATGTATATAAATAGACATAATAAATACAAGAAAACAATATAAACTATATATAATAAATACAAGAAAATAATATAAAATAGACATAATAAAAAGAAAATAATATAAAATAGACATAATAAATACAAGAAAATAATATAAAATAGACATAATAAAAAGAAAATAATATAAAATAGACATAATAAATACAAAATAATATAAAATAGACATAATAAATACAAAGACATAATAAATACAAGAAAATAATATATAACATATAAATACAGAAAATAATATAAAATAGACATAATAAATACAAGAAAATAATATAAAAAGACATAATAAAATACAAGAAAATAATTAAAATAGACATAATAAATACAAGAAAATAATATAAAATAGACATAATAAATACAAGAAAATAATATAAAAGACATAAGAAAAATAATAAAATAGACATAAAATACATAATAAAACATAATAAATACAAAGAAAATAATATAAAATAGACATTAATAAATACAAGACAGACATAATAAATACAGGAAAAAATATAAAATAAACATAATAAATACACAAGAAAAATAATAAAATAGCATATAAATAAAGAAAATAATATAAAATAGACATAATAATACAAGAAAATAATATAAAAATAGACAATAAATACAAGAAAATAATATATAAAGACACAGACATAATAAATAAAAATAATATAAAATAGACATAATAATACAAAAGATATGCGGATATCATATACAAACACATCTATACAAAACTTCACCATCAACCCACAATAAACACAAAAAGATATGCGGCTATTCTACATAAACACATCAATACAAAACTTCACCATCAACCCAAAACCGATGAAGATTTCCGAGGCTTCAGGAGCAAATAACACATACGTCAATTTCCCACAACACGGTAACTCAGGGAGAGGCAGCCGAGCACGCCGGACGCAAACGCTCTCACATTACTTACAATTCCAGCCGTTCCTGTTGTGTGTGTGTGTGTGTGTGTGTGTGTGTGTGTGTGTGTGTGTGTGTGTGCGTGTGCGTGTGTTGTGCGTGTGTGTGTGTGTGTGTGTGTGTGTGTGTGTTGTGTGTGTGTGTGTGGTGTGTGTGTGTGTGTGTGTGTGTGTTGTGTGCGTGTGTGTGTGAATATCAACTTTGCCGTTTAAGTGTGTTATATCAAATATTACGTGACAGATTTCTATCAAATGAATTTAGCCTATGTGTATAAAATATATTACCTGATACGGAAGCATTTTACCATCACTTAACGCTGAAGAACTTTCACCCCCTCCCCCAAAAAGAAAAAAAAAAAATAAATAAATAAAAAAAAAATGAAAATAAATAAATAAGTAAATAAATAAAACAAAAGCCACCATCCTGTCTCTTTGCCAGTCTTTATCATGCCATTGCCTAAATAATTATTTCTGACCGCTGACAATACCCAGTTAAAATCAAGGATGAATTCCCACGGGTATCGCACCCACGCAATCCCACAGGGTAAACAGCTGACACATCACGTGACACATGCATTAAACACCCCCCCCCCCTTCGCCCCCCCCCCCAACCCGTAACCTTCCTTCCTCCTAACCTGATCTGGTCATTCTTGTTTTTATTTTTGTTTTGATTTGCTTAGATTTGTTTTGTTTTGGGTATGATATTATTTCTTCTCTCTTTCTATCTCTTTCTCTCTTTTATTTTTTTTCTCTCTCTTTTCTCCTTTACATAAATATAAGCACAGCCAATTTGGATAGATGCTATAACATCTTACCCTGGCAATTTTACAGGACATGTACACTGGTCTGTAAATAGATTTTATCAAATCAAATCAAACCAACCAATCTCTCTCTCTCTCTCTCTCTCTCTCTCTCTCTTCCTCTCTCTCTCTCTCTCTCTCTCTCTCTCTCTCTCTCTCTCTCTCTCTCTCTCTCTCTCTCTCTCTCTCTCTCTCTCCTCGCCCTCTCTCTCTCTCTCTCCGCCCTCTCTCTCTCTCTCCGCCCTCTCTCTCTCTCTCTCTCTCCGCCCTCTCTCTGCTCTCCTCGCCCTCTCTCTCTCTCCCGCCTCTCTCTCTCTCCCGCCCTCTCTCTCTCTCTCCCGCCCTCTCTCTCTCTCTCCGCCCTCTCTCTCTCTCCCCCCTCTCTCTCTCTCTCCCCCCTCTCTCTCCCTCCCTCCCTCTGTCTCTTCTCTCTTTTATCTATCTTTTCTCTCCCCCCTCCCTCTCTCCCTCTTCCCCTCCCTTCTCCCTCCCTCCTTCCCTCCCACCCTCTCCCCCCTCTCTCTCCCCTCCTTCCCTCCCCCCTCTCTCTCCCTCCTCCCTCCTTCCCTCTCTGTCTCTCTCCTTTTATTTTACCCCGCCCCCCTCTCTCTCTCTCCCTCCCTTTCTTGCACTTTTCGCTCAGTCTGTGTATTGACCGTGCTTGCGTATATCGATTTCCTTTGCAAGCAACGTCTTCCGTGCCTTTGTCTCCCTTTGCTTTCACTCGTGTCTTTCATCTTTTTTTGGTGTTAGATTTTTTTCATAAGACTTCGTTTTTACTTCGCCTTTACTCCTTTTCTACGTTTTGTTGTTGTTGTTGTTATTGTTATTGTTTTTGTTTCTGTTGTTGTCCTCCTTTGTCCTCCTCCTTCTTTTTTCTTTCCTCTCCTTCACCCTCTTCCTCTGAATATTCTCCTCCCTCCTCCCATTCCCCTCCTCCTCCCCTCCCCCTTTCCCCCTCATTTACTCACCAGCTGAACGAAGTGATGGATATTCTGCTGCACCTGCGGCACCCACTGCCTCATCACAGCGAAGACGTGGGCGGTGGGTGGTGGCGCAGCAGAGAAGAGCACCCACTACAGTTGGGTCGAAGAAGGAGAGGTCCCGGCGGGCGCACTGGCCACACAGGGGGGAGTCCACGGGGGGTGGTCACGGGGGCACTCCTGCGGGGGCTTGCCTGTGTTGGGGTGAAGGGGGAGGGGGGGGGGGAAGGGGAGAGTGAGTGAGACGTTGAAGATGGAAAATGGTTGTGTTTCTTTTTACATCATTACCAGTTTTATCTGAACTTTTTTTATCATTATTATTATATTAATCATATTATCAGCATTAATGTTATCATCATTGTTATCATTATTATCATTATTACTATTATTATCGCTATCATCATCATAATTATCCTTATTTTAGTGTTTATTTTGTCTTGCTTTAGTTATGGCGTTTTTTTAATGATTTCATATATCTATGTCAGTAATATCATTATAATTGGTTATGAATAAAAAAAAATCCATTATTACAATCACTCTTTTGATTATTATTATTATAACAGTTATGATATTGCCACAAAACCATCATTACCATTATCACTGTTGCTGTTCACATTATCCCTAATATCATCCCTCCTTCATTATCATCATTATCCTCCTCCTCCCTTCCCATCCTTTCTCCTCCACCACCACCCTTCTCCCTCTTCTCCTGACGTAATGACATCCATCCGGACTTCTGAAGAATTCCTCTTTCTCCACCTCTACCTCTTCCTCTTCCTCTTCCTCATTCTCTTTCTCCTTCTCCCCTCCTTCTACTTTCTCCTTCTCCTTCTCTATTCCTTCTCTCTTCTCCTCCTCCTCCTCATCCTCCCCTTCTCCTATTCCTCTCTTTCCCTCCCTCCTTCTCTTCTTCTTCTCCCCACTATCTACTCCACTGCCATTTCTCTCTCTTCCTCCTTCTTTCTCCCTTTCTCCTCGTTCCACTCCCCTTCCCCTCCTTTCTGCTACACCACTTCCCTCCTCCATCTACTCTTATCCCTAACCTTCTCTCCTCCTACTTTCCTTTCCTTCCTCCTACTTTCCTTTTTCTCCACGCCCTTCCTCGCTCTTGGCCTCCCACTCCTCCCAATCTTCCTCTATCTCCTTCTCCTTTCTTCCTCCTCCTCCTCTTACCTCTCTCTACTTCATTTCACCTCCTTCCTTCATTTCCATCTCTCCACTCCCTCCACCTTCTTCCACTTCCTCCCGATCCCTCCCCTTCCTTCCTTTTCTACCCTCTTTTCCCCACCCTCCTCCCTCCTCCATCTCCCTCTCCCTCCACCTCTTCCCTCCCTCCTCCCTTCCTACCTCCTTCCTCCTCCCTTCCTTCCCTTCCTCCTTTTTTCCTTTCCTTTCCCTCCCCTCCCCCATTTTTCCCTCCCTTCCTTCTCCTCCATTTCTCTCCCTCCCCTCCCCCTCCCTCCATTCCTCCCTCCTCCTACCTCCTCCACCTTCCCCTTCCCCCTCCCCCCTCCCCCCTTCCCCTGCCCCTGCCCCTCACCTCGTAGGAGAGACGACGGAGGCGGCGATGACGTCCCTCCTGCCCTGACGAAGTCCTTCCGAAGAGGTCCTGCAGCGGTTGGCGGAGAGCGAGCGCTGGCCTCGGGGCATGCGGCGGGCTGGGGGGCAGGGCGGGGAGGCGGGCCACGGGCGGCACGGCAAGGTCAGGCTGGGCTTCAGGATGACCTCGGACGAACTGAGAGTCGCGAGTGTTCGCAGCCGTCGGCGCTGTAGCGGCCGCTGTCCTCCAGGCGGGAGCCATCTCTGCGGGAGGGAGCGAGGGTCGGATTATTCCTCTACTCATTTCTACTCTACTTTACTCTACTCTTTCTTTCTTTAATCACTCTTTCATCAATTCACTTGTTTGCTTATTTATTTAAACTATTTGTCCAAAGATTGATGTACAAAGTTGACCGAAGCCAAGCCAAACCAGACGAACAAAGGCAAATCCATTCCATACAACGATACCAAATCCATTCCAAATATTCCCTACAAAACCAAACACTGCTATACTAAAAGCGCAGGAAAAACGTGGCGTTTCGAACCCGTCGGATCTCCTCATCGGGAGAATATTAGTCCATTTCAATTTTTTAATACTTAAGATGAGGAAATCGGCAATTCGAAATCTCAATATTGGTTATTTTTTTGATGTAGCGGGATTTATTCTTTATGTGTAGACTCGTTACAGGGTTTGGATTTGGCTCGGTTACTTTTTTTTTTTTTTTTTTTTCCTTTTTTTGCTGTAGTGGGATTTATCTATATGTGTAGACTCGTTACATGGCTTGGATTTAGCTGTTACTTTTTTTTCTTTCTTTCTTTTTTTTCCTGAAGCAGGATTTATTCTGTTACAGGGTTTAGATTTGGCTCGGTTATTATCATTATTTATCATTTTATTTTATCTTATTTTTTTGCTGTAGCGGGATTTATTTTATGTATGTAGACAGGTTTTAGGGTTTGGATTTAGCTCATTGTCTCACCTGTCCACCTCGCTGCCCAGATCACTGCCGCCGCTCCCACGCCCGCTGCTGCTATGGTCACTGTTCGAGTCACTGTCATAGCCCCCCGGCGGCGGGTACTTCCCCACGTGGGCGGGGTACTGCTGGGTGTACTGTGGTGAGGGAGAGTGGTGCGTGCGAAGCGGGG